AATTATGCAGATCTAGTTTTAGTGGTTTAGTAAAAGACAGTCATAATGACTTTAATTTCTATAGTGGATAGCAGACTTCCTGTAGAAGGACTGGAACCATACTCTGTGTGTATGTGTCGTTGTAAATCTGGCTAACATCCCATCTTATATGAAAAATGCATACTGTAAGTCAGAAACCAAGGTCAAATTGTTGGTATCCCAGTATATAATTGTTAAGCGATGGTCAGGTTTCAGTAGTTAAGGTTGCAAACAGGGTTCTATTAAAGAATGCAATTTTCAATCCCTCTATAGCTTTGAATAGAAAATATGGTGTGCGCTAAAACTTCTAAGATGATTCTGAAAATAGAGGAGAATTTTTGAAAAAATATCTAATGAGTGCTGTAGTAATTGTAGACAGCAGCCAGAATTTTCTGAGTCCCTAAAGTAAGGCTTCTAAATAAAGCTGTCCTAATTTTCAGAAGTGCTGAGCATCTACAGATCCCAGTGAAATGCTACTGAATGTCCATTTTTATTTAGAAGCCTAACTTTAAATAGCCAATTTCAAATTCTATTTGTCTGTATCACATGAGTATAATAAAAAGTGTGAGACTAGAAAGGAAAATATTTTTTATTAAACATCCAAATATCAAAACTTGTGGATGAATACAAAAATCTGCTTCTGCCTGTCCTATGGCCAGTGGCCCTTCAGGAAAGATCAGGGCCCAAATGATCCATGATGACCCTGTGTGGAATACCTGGGGGCAATCAGGTGCTCCACATAGCACCATTTAGCTAATTAGAAATGGAGCGGCTGAGTTGAAAAGAAACAGCTAGAACAGTATAAAGAGGAAGTTGCCACAGGGAGGGGAGGAAGGAGTCTCTAGAGAAGCTCTGTGGCAGTTGCAGGTTGGAGGAAACTATATGATGTTGAATAAGCCTCTGTGGGGATGAGCCCTGAATGAGGACTTGCAATTGACAGCAAAAGCCCCAAAATAACTGTCAGAGTGCCTGCAGAAGGGAGACAGTGGGGAGCTCCTGTCAGTAAGGTCCAGGAAAAGAACTAGTGTCTTCCTCTAGGCTAGATAGGCCTACAGCTTGAGCCTGGCTCCTAGGAAGGGAGTAGGAAGATGAAGAGTGTTAATTTAATTTAATGGGGGCTTGGGGCTCTCAGTCCACAGAGCTGAGAAGCTCGTAAGCCCCATATAACCACCCTGCAACCCCCTAAAGAGGCACAACACCCCCCTGCCAGTTTGAGAACCCCTGGTAGCAGAACAGAAGACTGAACCCTAGTGTGGATGGGGTGGAGCAGTTGAATCTGTGAGGCAGGAGGGGCTGCTGGTGATTTACTGATGAGAGGAGGCTAGAAGAAGAATACAACGCTGGTGAGGAAGGAGCTGAAGCCTGGGGCTATCTATGTATTGATTTATTGGTTATTAATTAATAAAGTCTGTTAACAAAAAAATAATGAAAAAGGAGTTATGGAAGGTAAAGTCTAACTCAGGACTAATTTATATAGCCAAAAGGGGAAATTGAGGCACATTTCCCGAGGCTTGGACTTGTGACACTGACACTTTATTTGCTCATATTCAGAGTGAATATTACCTCATCTTTTGCTGTAACAAATAGCTGAAACTTGCTGTTGAGTTTACTTCCAGTATCTCACTAAATCTGTTGAAAGGAAGCTGTTTAAATTACATTAGCACTGATTCCTTAATTGAAAGTGAAGGATAGCTCTCCACTACTTCCTCCTTTACTTTTATTGGGGAAGGAAGCTCTGTGGCACATGTCAGGTGTTGTCAAAATGTTCCTGTCATTCCTGTGATTGGGTGAGGAGGGTTTTGCTGTAGATTATATAGTCATGTTGTTTTTCATAGAAGTATCACTCATTATAGAGGTAATGTACTAAATGTCCTAAAATTTGGACAGGGAGGTGTCTGAGGCTGTAATTTTATTTACTGTGTATCAGGAGGCAGCTAGTTAATTAAATACAATAAAATGAGCAGTCTGGATATGAGATACTCATTTCTAAGTCTAAAGCCATAAGAACAAGGACAGGTGCCTGTTGGTGGAATATCATTTACAAAACAAAAGAATAATTAAACTTACATACAGATGAATGCCCAGAGAGATGTTCAAAATGTAAGCTTCTCCTTTGTTCTTCAACTGGCTAACTTATAGGTCTCAAAATGTAACTGTAAACAAGGAATCATCATCAAGTGGTGATATTTGCAATGGGTTCCCACAGGGATCAATTCTTCCCCTATACTATTTAACATTTTTGTCAGTGACGGGAACGAAAACCTAAAATTATCACCAATAAAGTTTGCACATGACAAACAAATTAGGGGTGTGGTAGATAATGAAGAGCACAGATAATTTATTAAGAGTGATCAGGATCACCTAGTAAACTGGGTGCAAGCAAACAAAATGTGTTTTAATATGGCTAAATATAAATGTGTACACCCATGAACAAAGAATGTAGGTCATACTTACAGGATGTTGGAATCCATCTTGGGAAGCAGAGACTCTGAGAGAGTTTTGGGGGCAGAGGGGAATAATCAGCTCAACATAGGCTCAAATGTGATGTGGCGAAGAGAGGTAATTTGATACTGGGATGCGTAAACAGGGGAATCTTGAGTAGGATTAGAGAGGTTATTTCACTTCTGTATTTGGCAGTGGTCTGACTGCTGCTGGAATACTATGTCCAGATTTGGTGCACTCAATTCAAGAAGGATGTTGATAAATTGGAGAGGGTTCAGAGAAGAGCCACCAGAATGATTAAAGGATTAGAAATCATGCCTTATAGTGATAGATTAAATGAGCTAAATCTATTTAGATTAACAAAGAGAAGGTTAAGCGGTTACTTGATGATACTCTATAAGTAGGGTTACCATATTTTAATTTTTAAAAAGGAGGACACTCCATGGGGCCCCGGCCCCACCCCAACTCCGCCCCTTCACCGCCCACAGCCCCGCCCCAACTCTACCCCCTCCCCTGAATGCTCCGCCCCCTGCTCCTCCCCCTCCCCTG